TATTAGAAAAACACCATCAAATGTTTTAATCAGTCACCTTTAAGTTTCTCTCACAAATGCAGAATTGCTTGACATTGAGATCAGAATGTTGGCATCTAAAGTACTGGCTATATTTGAATGTGTGTGTACATATATATACATGTGTATGTAGCTGTGTACATACATGTACATACATACATTTATACAAACACTGTAGTACTTTCAGTGGTCTTGAGGGCTGCTTTCAGGACAAGTACACTTTCAGATGTCCGTTTTTATTATGCCTTTCAATAACATAGAAATATAGAAATATATCTAATTTTGTTATAATCTATTTGAAGCAAATAGCCACTACAAGTACAAAGTCCTTGTTTCCCCCTGGACTGCTCTTTTTACTGACATAAGTTGTCTGAAACTTTGGGATGCATATATCTATGGTGCATATCACTTCATGCATATAGGTGTTAACCATTTAATACAAAACAGAAAGCACTCAAATATTGCAGTGATAACTTACACAAACTAGCATTAGCCATTATATTTATCAGTACACTCAGAATGTTTCTTCTGCAAGATACAGCAGCATAAACCTGAAGTTCACAATTAACTTTAGCAGAAAGTACACTATATTAATCTAACTCTCACAACTCTCTGATATGCAGAAAAATGCACACATTTATAATGACTGATATTACTTCTGAAAACACATTCAAAGCACAAAAGGAAAAATATTTTTTAAAATTGATTTTACTTAATGGCAAATCTGTCACAAAGACTGTGCTTACTTAGATGACAAGTAATGTTGGATTTAATGTGAGAAAACATAATATGTTATTGTGTTTTCAATGTGTTTAAAGTGACACCAGCACATTTAAGAACTACATGAGAAAAGTAATAAATGAGTAACTCAAGTAGAATAATGAGTAACTAAAGTAATAAACCAACTTTTTATCAGCCCTCATAGGAAAGACAAACTATGGGGTGAGCACAGCTAGTTGAACAGTATCATAAGCTGAAGACTCCCACAATAAACACTGAATAGCATCTCATTTGTAAACAGAGACCTTATTTTACAAACAGAGTACTTTAGGGAAGGGGTTAAAAATCTCATTCTGTGAAGAAATTCCACTAAAATCGTGTTTGCTCCAAGCAGAATGTTCCATTTGTGTCCGTAGCAGGCTACTCAGTTATTATTGTTTTCTTTCCCTTCCTGGCAGCTACTAATCGTCTGCATCCAAATATCATGACTGAAGTCTACACCTCAAATATTTAGCTTTGAAGATTAATGAACATCAGATTATATCCAGCCCCTAGGACAGGGACCAGGCTGAAAGTCAAGGAACTTTAAATTTGATTACACAAAAATTACCCAGCAAATTTATTGATTTTCTTCCAAGGCAAACAACAATCTTTACAAGTAAATGTTTAACTTTATACTCCCAAGCAATCAGTTCTAAGCACATACAGGCAGCTTCCTTTCCCAAGTAATGAAAAATACACTATTGGATGAGAGAACTGAAAAGAAGTGGTATGAGATATTTACATCTAAAAGGATGCACACACATATGTCTGTGAGACTAATTTCATTCTTGCAAATTTGCTTATTCTCCTGGCTGCGCTATTAATCAAGGCAGTTGATACAGATATGACAATTTAAATCAGATGAAGTATCTCATAAATGTTAGGAATCATTCACATACCTACACAGACATCCATCTATTTGTATTGGTAGATGTACATATTCCTATATACATACACATTAATGCACACACAGATGTCTATACATGTGTATCTATTCCTGTATATAACTCCCTAGAAGTGGGCATGTGACTCATTCAGATCACAAATTAGATTGCAGCATCCTAGATAACTGAACAGAAAAGTTATAAAAAAAGCTGAGTCTCTGTCCTAATATAAAAATAGTATGTTTAAACTTTTTACTTATAACACCATTAACACTCATGCAGTTTTATACAATGCCAACCCAACATCTGCTCTTACACTTTTTCTGCAATCAGAACTCACCCTTGAATCAATTTTTCACCCTTGAAAATACAAAGTGCATGGAATACATCTGCTGTCTTTTTTCTCAGTGGTGCCTCAAAGCAAATCCTGCTTACTGTCTCAGCTTCTTCATTTTTTTTACCTCTCCCTCTCTATGGAAAGAAAATATTTGCAACAGCCAGACCCCACAGATAAAGTGGAGTTTTAGCCTGGGCAGTGAAAATGCATCTTGTTTAATCTCTCTTTACTAAAGTTAATAAGAAGCCTCTCTTCTAGAAGTTTCTAATATTTTACAACAGGAAAATAAAATTTCCTCTCCTCTGATCATCTCAGTATATTTAATAACTTTATGTGTTTTTGTAATGGGCTTCAACATATTTAATTATTCAATAATCTTTTCTTAACACATCATAAAAGTAGGAAATTTTAAAATTTTTTTAGGCAGTGGTTGGATAACAGTAGTGAGTCACACTCAGTATGTGCCTCTGAAGTTATGAGTAGATATAAATGTTTGCTTTTCTGCACCTTCTTATAATTTTACTTTAGTAACTGAAGGACCAAGAAAAAAGGTTGCAAAAAAGCACCAAAACCAGCAAATCCAATAGTTTTATTCTACTGAGTAAGAGACAGATAAACTAATTAAGCATTTTCACTCAAAAAGAAAATAACTTGGTTGTGACTGGGTGGGCTTTAAGTAAGTACTATCTCATCTACTGGGAAACTGGACTTAGCTTAACTTCAATTCCTAGAAAAAACAAACACTGGAATAAATAAATAATCAATCAGATTATTACCAAGCATTTGGAGAAAATATGAAAATACTACAGCCAATGTCAATATATCAAGAGCGAATATCATCTAACCAATCTTCCATTTATGTTAATAAATTCTTTCTCACTGTCACATAACCTCTGTGTAAAGCATTAGGGGAGCAACTGTTAGGTGAGCACAAATTAGTTAGGAAATCCTATACAGACATTGGTTATCAGTAGTTCACTGCCAGCATGGAAAAAGCTATAAGCAGTTTATTACTTAATATTTTCATTAAAGGATCTGAATTACGGGGTAGAAAAATGCTTTTTAAATGTTCAAATGATACCAAACCAGGAAGAAGAGAAAACACATTGAAGGACAACTTCAAAAACCAAAGCAACCCTGACAATTTCTAGAAACCACCACCAAAACACAAGGATGCTACTCAGTGCAAAGAGAAAGCAACAAATTGCATTTAGGCACAGCTAACTGGTGATCTCAGAACACAGAACAGGACAGTCAGGTAACAGTTCTTCAGAAAATAATTTTGAGATTAATGAAGGTCATGAACCAAATATGAGTATGCAGTTCATGTTGAAACATAGAATGTAGATATCATACCCAAAGACACAAATAAAAATGCAATGTACAAGAAAAGTAATCCTTCTAGTTTATTGATTAATGTTCAAATTTTAGTTTAAATTAGTTCAATTAGTTCAAATGTTAAAACTGAATCCAGGACTGCATGTTGCAAGCAAGAAAGTTATGGTAACAGTTCACAGGAAAACAGTGTGAATGACCAGTAGTCTAGAAAATATGTGAGAAAGTATTAAAAAAGGTGTGATGTTTTAGCTTTAAGAGAACATGGGTAAAAACCAGGACAATAACCTTTCAATTAAAACAAAACAAAACCGAGAAAGGTTGCATGCTTTATGTTTTATGTCCAGGTTTTTGCTGGAAAATTAGGACATCTTTCAAAACATGCCCATTCTGTCAGACATTTAGTGGAATTAGCCTGCTTCCCCAAAATATTTAAATTTCTGTGAATCTTTTTTTGTTTAAGAAAAGCCACTCTATTTGAGAAACCAGCGACAAGTTGAGCTGGAATTGTTTCAACTCACAGTCAAACTTAGAAACAAAAACATAGTGACTACACAAATCACATATTTTAAGCAGTAGTTAGGCATGCAGTACACTTAGGAATTGGAACTGGAAGACAGGCTTTATTCAATTACTTGAGGCTCACTTATTGCTTGTCTTCCCACAACATGAAAGGATTTTATGCAAACAGAGAAAACCACCTTTTTTTATACTCAGACTGCTATACACACACAAACCCCTCTGCCATGAAGGCAATGTGTGCTTTTAAATACAGAAACAAGGTTCATCTTGATATAAGAAAGTAATATTATTTACAGTGAGAGCCATTGTTCACTGAAAGTCTCCCCAGAGACGTGGTGGAGTCCCCGTCACTGGAGGTTTTCTAGATGAGATTGGACAGGGTGCTAAAATAACCTCATCCAGACTCCCTTTCCCATGAAAGGTCGGATTAGATGATCTTTCGAGGTCCCTAACAGCCTGGGCTGTTCTATGATTCTAGTTACTTCTATCGATATATTTTCTAATTTCAGAAACTCCCAGTTTAAGGATACAGATGCACAGATGGAGAAATGGAGCTTGTGGTAAGGTGTAAGTCTGAAGCAAACACCAACGTGGCAGTCACATACAAACAAACTGGGTGTCATTTTCAGTCAAGAGAACCAGAAGGAAGTTTTAAAAAAGTACACAAAAATATATACCGTTTATCTAAGTATAAATTGGAAGCAGGATTAAACTGAATTACCTCTTAAATCAGCCCAGTTTGTGTAACTGCAGATGCCATCCTACTCAAATACCTGTGGTCTGAAGCAGCATTACCAGTCTCTTGTCAAAAACAAGTAAAAAGAAACAATGTCCAACACAAAGAACCCTTGTGATAAAATAATGCTCCCTTTAAACCTGTGTTTGTATTCCATCTGATGGAGTACTTTCGACTGCAGACAGAATATCAGAGGAAGTGGGTCTGTGAATAATTATAGACTCCTTTGCCTTCTTATTTGATGCTCCAAAAATTGAAATTGCAACTGTTGTTTTAAAAATTACTTTAAATTTTGGTTCCCAAACAAATTAATATTGAAATATTGTGCCCTGTGATGAAACATAAATTGCCAAATATAACTGTCTCAAGGCTGATACAATGCAGTTTTATCATCTCAGTGACTTACCGTGTCCCTCATTGATGAGGCCCATGTTTACATGTGCTTGTGCCTTTCTCTTCCCACCATCAATTTTTACTAATTGAGCAGTGTTAAAGCATTGCTCATAAAAGTAGTCACTTAACCATTTGTCCTCAGGGTCTTCGAAAGAGCAGGCCAAGTTCAGCTGGTTATCGTACACCTCCTCGTAGAGCCCTTTAAAAACAAAAATTACAATCAAAATATTAGATTATCATCAGCCTTCAGAAACCTTGCATGTTATAGCAATGATCATGTAATGAAAATGAAGAGCTATTTATATATCCACCATTCAAACACCGTCAAGTTCTCCTACACGTCCACTCAAAGAAATATTAGAGGAAAATTATAACCTTACAAATTAGGCACAATTGAAAACACATTTTTGTTCCCATTTCTGTGTGCAAACCCAAAATTCAGTTTAATACAACACACAGACCCTGGATAAGACATTGGCTAGTTAGAAGTTAGAGTGAGCTTTAAAAAGCCCACAGTCTGCAAACAAAAAGCATTAATTCTTAGAACTTTAAATGTTCAAAGTAAGACTAACAAGAAAGTCTTTGAGTTTTCATGTATGCTCCCATATTTAGTACATTACCACTCTTAGAAATTAAGGACAAACTGAAATTGCACACCTTGCCCTGAAAAAAACCCCACAGTTCACCAAGGTATTGCTCTCAGAACAAGTGTGGAAAGCAGGGGAGACTGAAAGTCCCCAATCTTCTCTATGATCTGAAGTTTAGACCCTGCTCTTTATCATCTCAGACAACTAGATGAATACACATTACCCATAAAATTTACAAAAACACTGCCAGTCTGAAATCTAAGTAGCATTACAAAATCATCCACAAATATATTATTCACAATTTAAAATTATAGAATGATAGCTTCAACAGAATTAGAGTTATTTCTCTCAGAAAATCACCTTCAAAAAAAAAAAAGAAAAAGAAATCCACAAGATTTGAATTATTCCAAAACTTTATTAATTTGTGGTAGAGATCTAAATTTTTTCCTGGCAAATCTTATCATACTGTTTCTACCTAAAGGGAATTTGAAATATCTATTCCTTAAGTGATGCTGAAAAATCTATCAGATAATAAAGTACAGCATGAACTTATATGTTTCACAGCAAAATTTATCACTGACTAAACTAAATTAATTTTCTTTGCAAACTCTGCTCATGTCAGATGTGAAATGGAATAATTAGCTAAAATTCCATTGCAGTTTTGGTAGGCTACTTAGTGTGTTTGTGGCTATTAAATGAATGTAAGTCAAACAGCCAATTCTTAAAAGAATTTCTGTGTAGTTGGGTAAAGGAGTTAAGAACCACAGGTCTTGTGGCAGGTGAGAGGCTGTTTGGTTAAGCTGGACATGTGAATAGAACTGATTTGCTTCTGGGAGTTCTGCCATTTGTAAGTTTTGTTCAATGAAGAGAGGAAAGGGGGAAAAGAAAAAAACAATACTTTTGTTTGTTGCCTTTTTTTTTTTCATTTATTATTTTGTTTTCCTATTTATTTTCTCAGAGTTTTCCCCTCTATGAAGTGGTAGCATCATATTCCTTTTTATAGCTCCCATTAAAATATATAAAATTATGATTTTTGAACCAGTTTGTTTTATATACATTTCCATTTCTTGTATTTTAAATAACTCTTTCAAGAAATGAGTGTTTCACAATCTCTTTAGTCACTAAAGTAGAAATAACCCAGAAATTACATTTAGATTATCATCTCATCATTTGTGTCTAAGGTTTTACACCAAAACATGCCAAAACATAAGCTTAAGTTTAGAAATTTAGCTAATATATAGACTTCATGTATTCCTTATCAGAACATTCTTCACAGCAGTGAGTTTTCATGCCTTTTTTTCTCCCCTCAAGACCAAAAAAGTACCTCTTGGGTACCTCTTCTTCAGAACATCCAGGAGTGTACATCATATAAAAATAAAACATATAAATATGAGAAATTAAGACAATTTTTGTACAATAGCCTCATAAAAATTTCTGCAAATGATACTGAAATGGAAGTAACAAAACTGGGTTGGGTTTAATATACACATATTTATCTGTGTGCATGTGCACAGATATACACGCCTATATTTATATATGCTTATAATAGATATAATATAGATAATGACACACACAGCACTTTAGCATCTACTAAGAAGAAAATTATTCTAGCCAAAACCAGGACCATATACAGATAAAAAAGTTAAGACATAGTTAGGATTCACACAAACTAACCAATTTAGATACAGATACGAATTATCTGGGATCCCTTTATTCTCAATGAAAAAAACCAGTTACTTCTTGGCTGAGATCCATTCATCTCATCCTGACTTAAACAACTATTGCAGCACAAGGGAGTTCTTTCAGAGATTATCTCATAAGTAAAGACAGAGGTTCCCATGACAATTACAAGCACACAAGCAAATAACCACATGAAGAGAGAAATACAAAACCTAATTATAACCTCTAACATAAAGATAACAATACATATTACATACAGATCACAGCTAAGTGAAAATGAACTCGGAAGATACCAGAGGATACATACAAATGGCTGCAATAACACAGAAAGAGAAGAGATAATCGGATTCTCATTGGGGTAAAACACAAGATATAGATTTGCTCCTTTGAAATCTTTGCTACAAAGCATCAAGGCACTAATGTGAGATAAAATTACGCAAATAACTTCAGGTAGTGCCCTACAAATCCCAGGAGATGGAAGTGACCTGAGGCAGACTATAGCTAATGCCACAGCTTTGATTGAATGAACTTTAATGTGACCCTCTGATGACTACCCTGCCAGTGAATAACAATGAGAAGTGCACAAAGACAACCAGTTCTCTGTCATTGTCTTGGGCAGTGGCTGACCAGATATGTCGGTCATAAAATAAACTCCCAAAGCCAGATTCTGAAAGTCATATTGTCTCCTGGATTCAAAGTCTGATTTACCAATCAAGAAATTAATTGAGGTTATTCTGACAGTGGCAAAGATAGCACATCAGACTTGGTAAAAGTGAACTTTTACCTCCTCAGGAGAAGAACATTAGAATAGGTAAATACAGTCTTCTATAAAATCTCCAAGAAGTAGTTTAGACTTTAAAGCTTTGAACTCTCTGATTTTGTAAAGTTCTCTACAACTGATAATAGAATACATGTAGACAAGTCATATTTATGTATCTGTTGATCAAAAAAAAATTATCTGCACCATTTATCAGAGAGGGAATGACAGCACTGGCATGTGATACTGAATGAACAGAAAGAAAACTTTGTATCACAGAACAAACAGAGAGAAAAGCTTCAATCATACAAGCAATTGTAAAACAGTTCCTGCAAGACAAATTCCTGTTTTTATATAAGAAACAATTAAGAAAGCACGTACAAAAAAGGTCCAATGACTGGATCCCATTCATCCTTCAAAAATTACATTAATTTCATAAAACATTGGAAACTAAATCCAGGTCTTCCGGAACACTTTAGCCACAGGATTGTGAGAAAGTTGTGAAGAAGGTCTACCAAAAAATGGCAGCCACACAGAGCAAATGAAACTTGATGGAGCAGATGCTGAAGCCTGTTTGTTAACAGTTCTAGATTGATTGGAAGATCTGAAAACACATCTTATGGGCAATTATTCAACAGAGCATTTATTCAGTACAAAGTTGCAAAATTGAAGGAAGTAACATTTCACAAAAATTAAGCAGAAAACAAATTAGAAGTCATGCAATTATGCAGTATTTCTTTTATAACATTTTAATATTTGTATGGGTTTGTAACCGAATATAAATTAGAGAAAATGGACTTTCATTTTGTTTGATCAGAACATTTCAAAGTACTTTTATTTCCACTGAAATCCTGTATATTAAACACATATGGTATTTCTTGCTCTGTATAAGGATCTCTTCAAGTGCACCTCAACCGCCAAGTGGCATCTCCCCTTATTGTGCACAACCCACAGGCCCTGATTAGCCCACTGAACAAAATCTTTGTTTGTTCCTGCACTCTTCTCAGGAACTGTTCCCTCGGCAAGCAGGGGTGTGCACGGAACAGAGGATCCAAACAAATCCATGTTTGCATGTTTGTTGTGTTCAGTCAGACAACTGCTAAGTAGTGCAATGCACAGGAACACTGAGGTGCAGTTTGAGTATGATAACCCCAGGAGAGCTAAAATGAGGGCAAAAAACCGTACAGAAGGTCTGCAAGCCATACTATGAGGTTTAGGTACAACTGCTGCCACATCTGTATGATCTTTGTGACAGGATGTAACAGAAGAAAGGAAAAGAAGTACAACAAAGGTCTTTAGAGAACTGATGAAAATATCATAAAGACATCCTGGATTGGTGTTTTCCTTGAAGAATAAAAGAAAGAGGCAGCAGCCCCATTTTCCATTAACAAGAACTTGCACTCATTTTTAAAATACAAGTATTGGAAAGAAATTTTTCAACATCCATTTCTGGCTCAATATTTTTCACTCAAAAACCACCAGTCAGTTATCTGTTCCTAACAAAGGCCAGATGGAAGCTTGTCAACAGCTGTTAACGCTCATCCTCCAGTTTAGTTCGTTGGTTTAAGTGAGTATGACTTGATTATAACTGACCATTCACTCTTGAAGACATATAAAGGAGTGCCCCAAGGCCCATTAAGTCACTAGGAGTAATTTTTGATGTCAGAATGAGACACTATTAACGCTGGAAGTTTCATTTTTCTTTTGCCAGAGAGATCAGTGACTTAGTAGCAAGACAGCTGATGCTTTGAAGAATTCATACACAAAGAAAGATCCAGGATGGAGGCTGTTGGATCAAAAAGAAGCATAAACTGCAATAGAACATGGTGCTGCAATTAGTTTATTTCCACCTGCATGGAAATAAACATTCATGGCAAAGAATCAGTCCCATTAGCTTGCTAAGGCAATCCTGCCTCTACATCTACAGGTAGAGGCCCAACCTAATTATTCATTTTTTTTTCCAGAGAATTTATTAATAAATGGATAAGCTTTTTACCAGGAAAAAGAAAAAAAGAACAAATGAAGCAAGGTTTCTGTGAGTTGTTAGCATGATGACACTATCCAGTTTCAGGCAGAGCCTGTTTCCCAGAGTGTACACAGAGCACACTGCTCCCTCTAATTTACGTACTGCTGGATACGTAAAGGGAAAATAATAAATCAATGTACAATCTGTAC